TAAATAAATTGGATTTCATCAAAATTTAAAACTTTCATATTATATAGAACACTATCAAGAAAGTGAAGACAACCAAAAGAATAACAGAAAATATTTGCAAATTATATACTTGACAAGAGTCTCGTATCCAGAATATATGAAAAACTTACAACTTAATAATAAAAATGCTAATAACCCAATTAAAAAATCAGTAAAGAACTTGAATAGACATTTCTTCAGAGAAGATGCAGAAATGGCCAACAATGACAAGGACGGTCAGTCTCATCGGTTATTACATTAAGAGAAATGTAAATCAAAACCACTTCACACCCACTAGGATGGTTACGATAAAAAAGACAGCCAATAATAACAAGTGTCAGCAAGGATGTGGAGAAAGTAGAGCCGTCACACACAGTTAGTGGGTGTAAAATGGGGCAGCTACTGTGACAACCAGTCTGGCAGTTTCTCAAAAAGTTAAACATAGTTACAATATGACCCAGCAATTCTACTCCTAGGTATTTACTCAAGAGAAATAAAAACATGTTTGTAAAAAACTAGTACAAGAATATTCATAGCTGCATTATTCACGATAGCCAAAAAGTGAAAGCAACACAAATGTCTATCAATGGATGATGGATAAACAAAATGTGGTATGCCTGTTCAATAGAATATTATTAAGCCTTTAAAGAAATGAAGTTCTGACACATGCTAAAACATGGATGAATTTTGAAAACATTATGCTAAGTGAAGGAAGCCAGTCACAAAGGACCACATATTATATGGTTTCATTTATATGAAACCTCCAGTATAGGCAAATCCATAGACAGAAAGTATATTAGTGGTGCCGGGGGCTGGGGAAGGGGGCTGGAGTGTGATACTTATGGGGCTGGGGCTTCCTTTTGGGGCGATGAAAACGTTCTGGAACTAGACAGAGGTTAGTGGTGATAACTGCACAACCTTGTGAATATACTACAATTATGTACTTTAAAATGTGGAATTTTATGGTACGTAAAGGATATTTTTTTTAAGTGAAAAAAACAGAGGAAGAGGTGAGGTGGGGAAAGAAAAGCCCCAGTCGTGAGACACTTCTGACTTCCACGGTTGGAGAATATGAGCCCTGGGGGACCCCCACTCTTTCTCCCTCACTACATCCTTCTGGGAGACCCTTCTGCCCTGGGACTCCAAACAAAGTACACTACAGTGTGTACACGTGTTTATTACTGTGTGCTAACACGTGTGTGGTGGTATGAACTAGCATGTATGTGCATTAGCATAGGCACTCGTGTGTGCTGATGTTTCCTAGTGTATGTGCTAGTGCATACTAGATGTGTACTAGGTGTGCTAGTGTGGGTGCTAGCATGTCTACGTGTGTGTGCTCGTGTGTACTAGACTGTATACTAGTGTATGTGCTAGTCTGTGCTAGTGTATTCGTGTGTACTAGTATATACTAGTGTGTATGTTAGCGTGTATTCTATCATGTGTGCTAGCACATGTGCTAGTGTGAGCTACTAGTGTGTGTACAATCAAGTGTGCTTGTAGGTGTTAGTATGCACTCACATGTATACTAACATGTGTACTAGTGTGTTATTGTGTACTAGGTGAGCCAGTGTGTGCTAGCGTGGGTATTAGCATGAGTGCTAATGTGTGTTATTGTGTATTAGTGTTTGTACTAGTGTATACTAGTGTGTGCTAGCATTTTACTAGGTGTACTGGCATTTGCACGAGTGTCCACTGGGAAGAAGCGAGCAGGATTCCATCGCACAGATGCAGGAACCAGACATCTGCATGGAAGTGCCCAGGAAGGTTGGCTCTGTATGCCTGGCTGGGGCCAGTATCACTAATACTTAAAAATTCCTCCGAAAAAAATTAATAAATAAATAAAAGTAAAAATAACAAAAAATTCCTCCAGAGGCTCCCACCCATAGCCAGGGCTGGGACCACGGCTCATCTGCCGGGCATAGACAAGGGTCCACTGCCCATTTCCTCCACAATTAAATGGCAAGTCCCCAGTCCTCATGGCCACAATCTCAATGAAACGCCCTGTCTCCTGTGGACATGGGGTACACGTGGCCACATTTACATATGCTGCCACTTCCCAAAAAGTCATGCCCGGGGTTCAACGGGGACCTGGGGGCAATCACTGCTCAGCAACAGCTTCAGAGCCAAGAACTGAGGTTGCTCTGTGGAGGCAGGAGGCCGAGCTGCTGACCAGGGGTGGGCAGGGGCCCACAGCCCTCCTGAGACGCCTTCTATTTGGAGAGACTCCTTCTCCGACCACGCGTCTCTGCTTCCCCTTCTCTCGGTTGATCCTAGCAAGCTAACGCCCCATGGGGTCTCTCTGGCCTCTGCTTCTCCCCCAGGCCTCCTCATCAGTCCTGCCTCTCCCACAGGCCCCAGCTGATGCCTCTGTCTGAGAAGATACCCGGATCTCCAGAACGACGCCATTTTGGTATGTGGCTCGTCTCCTGCACAAAACTTGTTACATTGTGTGTGAGCTGTTCAAAGCCAGTGTCCTGCTGACATAAGAGCTGGTGTGTTGCTGCTCAGCACCCACACTGGTCCTTGGTACCAGGCAGTCTCTCAGAGGTACATGCTGCACAAAGGACAGGGGTATGGAATAGTAAAGAACTGGGCCTCCCTTGGGGCAGCCAGGCCTGGACAAAGCGGCCCTCCTCGCCAGTTAGGTGCCACCTGCGCACCTCACAATAGCCTCCTGGTCCCCCAGGGAGTGGAGCAAGACCAGGGTGATGGGCCCAATTCCCATATGTCAAAGAGGCCTGAGTCCTGCCAGCATTCGCAGAAAAGTCAGCAAGGAGAGGAAGCTTTTGTTTCCTCTCCACGGCTCCTTCCCGCTCAGCTAGACAGGACGGGCCTTGTAAAATAAGCTGGAACACGTCCAGTACCCGGGTGTTTGCTGAGCATCTACGATGCGCTGGGCCCGGTCCCAAGTACTGCGGATGCAGTGATGAATAAAACAGACCCAGATCTTGTCCTCTGGAATTTACATCCTAGGGGGACTGCATGAAATAACAGCTGTCATCAACCATATGTACACTGCAGTGCCGAGGGGCATGGGGTAGGGACGCAGAGGGCTGGCTGTGCCCTCTACAGACAAGGATGCCTCTTTGGGGACATCTGAGCAGAGATCTGAATTAAGGGGTATCTGGAGGAAGGGCATTCCAGGCAGAGGGACACAGAAGCAAAGGCCGAGGCAGGGTGGGCTGGACGTGTGTGAGAACCCACAGGAAGGTATGTCTGGAGTAGTGGGCAGAGGGACCCTGTGCCCCTCCTGTGCACACGTGAAAGGAATCAAACAACCACCTGCAGCACTAACAAAAACAGTTTGCAGCCGATCGCTGGAGGACAGAACCTAGAACTTGGTGAGGCAGGTGGTGAACATCCTCATGACATTCAAACAGACATCTGAACAGAAAAAGTATTGACAAGAGCCACATTGGCACACAGATTTGAGAAAGCACTCTCAGAACAAATGCAGCTCATTTCCTTGCATAAATCTGAACCCTGTTAGAAAAACAGTGTTGGTGAGGCCCTGCCCTAACAAGGCATGGTCCAGTTAGCAGCTGTCTGCAAGGATCAAAGACAGCCTATGTAGCCTGAGGCCATCACGGTTCCAGGATCTGTTGGGGCAGCTGGCCTTTCCTCCCAGGAAACACAAGGATGTACAAAAGCTTCCCAGTTCCCACTCTTACATCTTCTCTAATCCAAAACTCCTTAAAAAAAAGCAAAACCAAAAAAGCAGGCCATGTATAAAGCACGACCCTGTGTTTCATAACAGAACCCCAAGTCCTTGGCCCGAGGTCCAAGTCAACTGCCTCTGGAGTTTCATGTGCCAGCAGTGGGAGTCTGGACATAGTGCATGCCCACACTCGGTGGCTGCTGCCGCCGACAGGCAGTCCTGACTTTAGACACTTGTGTTCCTGGAAACCACGATGAAACATGCACCCTAATAAGACGCAGAGACCCGATGACTGCGGTGTCCTGGTTAGGTCACACATGGACTCAGCGATGGACGGACACGTCTACCCTCCATCACACAGACGTGGGCTGGATGGGCCACTCTCGGGACAAGGCTCCTGTGTTTGCCCTCCTGGTTCTGTCCCCTACCCAGCCGGGTCCATTCTGTCTCCCCACTGCCAACCCGCATCTTCTTGTTCTATGTGAGGCTTGTGTTAAACAGCCTTAAGTCCTTTTTGAACAAGGAATAAATTTTTAAGCAAACAAACAAGAAGATAGGCAGCTCTCTCCTCATGGCTCCAGGATCTGAGAGCACAGCAACTATTTTAAGAAGAACAGGAATAATGAAGGAGTTAAGGACAAAGCTCGCTGAACTCACCTCCCATGTGTTTGTTCCCCAGTCCCCAAGTTTCAGATAACAGGAGTTCCCACCTCTTATACACGTCCTACACCGTGTCCTCCTGCATGTTCTATAGTGACAGCCCTGCAGCATGAACTGACCAGAGGCCATCTTCCAGCCATGGCATGATGAATGCAAATTGTGGACCATCTCAGACAGTGGCCAATGGCGGACACTCCTCACTACCTTCTGGTAGGGCAGAGGGAGTGGAATCCTAAAGCTGAAATTAGAGTCCTTGCCAGCATTTCCTAAGTCCAAGGAAAGGGCACACTCACCAAGCATTTCGGGGCAGAGGGGGTACTAGCTAGCTTTGGGGTCAGAGGTCTGAGTTCAGGCCCTAGCTCTGCCATCTGGCCTCAGGCAGGCCACCTCACCATTTCCTCACTTGTAACACTAGGGCACGACATTAACCTCCTTTCCTAAATGTCCACAGAATAACTGGCTATTTATAAAACTCAACTAAGTCACCTCTAAGATGAGCATTTGTTTTATTGAGTACATTAAGAATACGTCAGAACCTATGAAAACGATATCAGCTTGGGGAATAATCAAGTCTGGAAATTCCAATTAATCTGTTTGAAAATCAATAACCCACCCCACGCCTGGGGGGTCAGAGTCACAATTTCTGGGCGGACTCGTGCCTTACCGCGTGGCCAGCTTATGGCAGACGACACCCGTGTCAGTGATGACTTCACTCAGCCTCAGCTCCAGGTGGACCTTGCCCTGAAAGGCACAAGGACAGAGGGTCACGGGGGAACGGCCAAGCACAGCAGAGAGCTGCAGTCTCCATTCACGAATGCGTGGTTATGCCTGACCCTGCACGGCGTCCATCACACTTCTACCCACCCCCGCTTAGATTCCAGAGACCAGGACGGGGCGTGTCTCCCCAAGAGCATTAAAGGTTCCAGCCCAGCCGACATATTAGGCTCCCCACTCTGCTGACAGCAAGCTACTGTTCAGAAAAAAAAGAGCTCAAAATGAGCAAGAAAAAGGTAGTCAAGAAAGTGCATCCCAGTTTATTTGCCTTAGGTTGTGTTCTTTTACGCGACTTGGGTCTGTAGTCTGACACCCCAAAGCCTCAGGGGTAGATTTGGGCAGTTCTCCGCCCAGACATCTTGGTGCTTCTGCGTCCTTGGTGAGGACTGGATCAGAGGCCGGGGAATCTCAGTCCTGCTCTTCAGGCAGGAAGTTAATGCTCACAGATATTTGTGGAAGGAAGGGGAGCAGAGGTAGCTGGAGTAGTGAGAGCAGAACCCGTGCTGTATTCCTACTGGTGTCTATGCAAAGGGTCACGCCAGCGGGAGGACAGAGCAAATGGGTAAGGAGGACACAAGCAGGTCATCATCAGATTATCGCAGGGGGTTCTGGGGAAGAGGAGAAAGGGGCCATGAGGAAAAGAAGAAGAAAACCTGCTCCTTAAAAAAAAAAAAAAAAAAAAAAAAAAAACCTCAAAAAAAGGGGGGCACAATTTGTATATGTAGAAAATATTCTATTCAGGCTATATAAATGTTTCTGACAAGGTGTAAAATTAAAAAACTA